TTTCAGAAATAAACCTAATATCAGTATCTGAGGAAGAACTTTTAAAAGAATTTACTGAGAAAAATGTGTGTGGGGGGGATCTCACCGAATTAAAATCCGTAGTGAATGCAGCTTGTTTACACAAAACATGTTATTCTGGTGTTCCCACATCCAGAGCTTACCGAAAGCTATTAAGACAGGTTACCTTAACCAACAGGATCAAAAGTGTCACGTGAAAATTGGCTCTCCACTCTCTGATGTGTTTCGTCAATAACAGGGTGTTCCACAACGCAGTCTACTAAGTGTTGTAACTCTGTTTAGTTTGAAAATTAATTCTATTGTCAAACAGCTCCTCTTCTCCAATTGTCCATGAAATGCTCTACCTTAACGATCTGCAAATCAGTTGCCAGGGGATCAGACATGAAACACGTCGAGAGAGAACTACAGACATGCTGAATAGAATAGTTAAATGGTCTCAGGAGAATGGTTTCAAGTTTTCTACCCAGAAGACTGTGTGCATGTATTTTTATCGCAAGAAATTTCCTCATCCTGATCCCGAAATTTATTTCAGTGCTCCGTAACCTTTTCTCACCTGCGACGCACAAAAAATCTTTCTGGAATTTCGTGGCACACCAAAAGCTAATGTATATATGTATTGATTTATACACAAAATTTGCAATAAATTTTTGTTTTTAATTTGAAAAATATACAATTATAAAACCATAACATATTTATTTATATGCAATCATAATAATTATCAATGTGATACCTGCGCTTAAAAAGTTATATATTTTTGAGTTCCGAGTTATCAAGGAAGTGCCGAAAAAATTCAAATGCTGACACACTTACAATCACACACACAACCACACAACAGTGAAATATATAAAAACATTTAAAATAGACATTATTAAGGAAAAAAATTGTCATTGTGTATTAAAATACATGATAAAAAAATTGCAAAATGTAAAATACATGTATTTGATTGCGGCACACCTATATCCTACTCATGGCACACCGGTTGCGGAGCACTGATTTATTTGCAGGACGTACTGCTTCCTGTAGAAAAGGAGAGAAAATTCCTGGTAGTGCTGTTCGACCGTAAGCTTACTTTCCTTCCTCATATCTTCTCTCTAAAAATAAATATTTTAAAAACTGTGGAAATAATGACAGTCTTGTTGAATACCTCCTGGGAAACCGACTGCAGCCCAATGTTTCTTATAAGGAGAGCCCTTATCCGCTCAAAACTTGACTACAGGTCAGTCATTTACGGATCGGCAAAGCCTTCTGTGCTGGCCAAACTTAATCCTGTACATCATCAAGCATTTCGAATTTGCATAGTTGCCTTTAGAAGATCTCCATTGGAAAGCCTGTATGTGGAATGTAACAAGACGTTTTGCATTTAAGACGTGAATATCTTTGTCTCAAGCACTGTTTTATTGTCATATCCCAGATCAAGAATCCCGTCCGTTTACATTTACTCAATGATTCATGCTCTCGTTTGTATGAGGTACGTCCATTATCTATAGCATCTTTGCTCAGAGTAGGCACATTGCTGGAGCAGTACAATATGTCAAATATCAATACATAGATGGGGAATTTCTATGAGATTCAACCTTGGGAGGACTGGAAAATTCAGCTTCTTGATACGACCAACATTGGGATAATTCTAATACTAGTGATATCATTTACAGGAAGATTTTTGCGGAGCATAGCCATAAATATAGAAATTATATCCCTCTCTATACAAATGGATCAAAATCCCAAGATCATGTTAGTGAAGTTTTTGCAGTGGAAAAAGCAATTGTTGTTGGGTGTCACCTACAGCCAGCCTGCTCGATTTTCTCTTCTGAACTTACTGCAAATTTCAGACTTTGAACTTCTTCTCGAAACGACATTGCATGAATTTCATTATCTATACAGATTCTTTGAGTGCCTTATACAGATTATACTGAAAATTCATTGAAAGAATCCTACTTATAGTTCGCATCCCATATTACCTGTATTCTGAAGCTTAACCGTTTGAGTGCCACATGCCTTTTCCCGTCCAAAAGTGCCAAGGAGCACTTTTTCGCTTGTCTTATTCTCGCTCCAAAAGTGCCAAGGAACGCTTTTCCACTTGTCTTATTCTCGCTTCAAAAGTGCCAAGGAACGCTTTTTCGCTTGTCTTATTCTTTCTTCAAAAGTGCCAAGAAGCTCTTTTTCGCTTGTTTTATTCTCTCTCCAAACGTGCCAAGCGGCGCTGTAGCGCGTCCCTTATTCTCCGATTAAAAATGCCAAGGAGTGCTATTGCGTTGTTTTCTGCTCTTATATGGTAAGTTGCAATTGTTTCAATTCAGTGTTGTTCTGACATCTTTCTCGGCAGATATCAGCGTCTACAGTATATCAGCGTACAGATATCAGCGTTTTTAAATAATATTAAAATATTATTTATATATTTTATTGCATGTATAAAAAGTATGTACAGTAAAATTTTCGCTAATTTTTTATGTAATCTACAGTATAATTTTATTTTTATTTGCTGCCTTTCAGCAATTCAATGGCTTCTAAACGTAAAACAAGTAGTATAACAGAGGATTGGAATTGCTGCAGCGATAATAGTGATATTGTTATTTTTAAAAGAAGAAGAATTAGTGTCATCGATGATTCTGATAATTAATATCCATAATACTGGTGACATTTCGAAATATATTGTGATTGCTGAAAATGAATATATTGACCAAAGCAATTCATTCGAATTCATTGAAAAGTCGTAACCGCAATACCGTTTAACTAATAGATCCAAACCGACTGAATATTTTAATCTCTTTTTCACTAATTCTCTTTGTGCAATGATGGTTGAGGAAAAAAAGACTTGCAGAAGCATTGTTATCAAAATCCACAAAAACTGATAAGTTTAGAATGGTAAGTTATCATTCCAATCCCTGTATCCAATCACTCTCCTGAAACTGAAGGCATTTGTAGCCGTACTATTGGAAATGGGGGTAACAAATAAGCCAATAATATATTCATATTGGTCTGTATAAGATATTCTCCCGCCTTCTTAGCATGCCTTCGTGGTGTAATGGTCAGCACACTCGGCGCGTATTCGAGAGGTCCATGGTTCGAGTCCCGGCGAGGGCATTACTCATTTTTCGTGACTCCTGCTTCAAAAAAATTCAAATGACAGTGGCGCCCGAACTAAAAAGGGGGGGGGGTGGATGGTGATTCGCGACTGGGGCCTCTAATCGCCAGTGGCCCTTCGAAAGGGGGAGTATATAAGGTATTTCTCCCACATTCTTAGCATGCTTTCGTGGTGTAATGGTCAGCACACTTCGGCGCGTATTTGAGAGGTCCGAGTCCCGGCAAGGGCATTGCTCATTTTTCGTTTCCTGCTTCAAAAATCATAACTCTACAACTGAAAGTTCTAGAACTATACTTTGGTTTAAAACGATGTTCCCGATGAACATATATCAAAATATTATAAGATGTTTTCATATAGTTGATAATAAAAAGTGTTTTTCACCAGAACATGAAAATTATGACGCATGTGCTAAATTCAATTCGATTGTTGAGCACAACAATCGCATGTTTTGTTTTAAGCATATTGCCCTCCGCACAAAACGTTGTCTGTCGATGAATCTTTACTCGTATACACGTTACACAGGGAAAAACCACGAAAACGCCCATACAGCCAGCCCGTTCACGGGATTTGAACCTCAGACCGAACTACCAGTGTTCAGCGACTTTACCGCTCGGCCGCTGGTGGGCCTTAAGTTTGGGATTTCATAATAGTTTCAATACAGCTAAAAACACACGTCTGGTTATATCTTATGCTCATAAAATAAAGGTATTGTCCATATGTAAGCTTATAAATAAAATGAAATTTTAAGAAATAAATATGTTCATATTTTTAAGAGGGATGGCAAATATACTTTCTCATTGCAGAAAGTAGATTCATAATTTTACATATTTTAAGAACAAGATGTCTTTCCTTAAGAAAGCATTCTTTTGAAAGAAATATTAGCTGCAAAAAATTTAATGTGGTATTGTTTTGTTAAGGAAAATTCCTTTACATAATGAGCACACCAGCGGCCGAGCAGCAAATTCGCTGAACACTGGTAGTTCGACTTAGGTTCAATACTAGGTGAACGTGCTGGCTGCATGGGTGTTTCCGTGGTTTTCCACATCTGTAACATGTATATGAGCCAGTTTACCTTATGTCCTCCAGGAAGGCATTAATTAGTACTTTTAGTACGAAGCATATAATTAGTACATTACTGCATTGCTTTTACTGTTAGAATTTCATATTGTGAACCAACATAATATTATATACCTGGTGTAATTAGAATCATATAATGCAGTGTTTAAATATGTCATGACAGTAAGCAAAACATCAATGTATGATATAATAGTATAATAAGGTAGTGCATTTAGTAATAAGATGCATGAATACGTTTAGTCAATGGTATTATATAGCATAATACTTTAATATTATGAAACAGAGCAATGATAAAAATAATACTATAAATCAAATATAACTAAATGTGAAATACCTTTTAAAATGGTGCCTCAATGTAGTACTACAAGTGACTACAATGAGGCATCATTTAAAAGGTATTTCACATTAACGAAATTTGAAAATATAAAGCTGATTTTTGTTGTTTGACTTCTGAATTAGTATTTGTTCAGCGTGTTATTGTGTCTTAATTAATTCTAGCCTCCTTTTGTCTGTCTGTAAAATCATCGCCATAGCTGTATAGACCATAGCTCTCGAAAGACCTTATTCGAAGGCAATATTTTGTGCTGGACCATATACGTTTTACATGGCTACAATACACTCTTCAAGTTCTACACGTCTTATATGGTATGGTCTTTATGAATTTTATAAAGAAACAGTAGATGAAATATTGACTGATTTAGAATCATGATATTCTAATGATTCAAAATTTGCCATAATTATTAGGTTCAAAGAGCTGATATTCTACCCTAACGCTAATTCTGATATTGGTAGTGAAATGTTAAAATGCAACATAATTCGTACATAAGAAAATAAATGCTCATTTATTTATTTCGTTTGGAGTGTTTCTTATAACATAATCATGCAGTCTTATCTTTTCTTCAATAATCGGATATTGACATCTGTTAAGCGGTATCCGTATTCTGTGTTGTTTCAATCGTGGTAGTTTCCGGAGTTTCCGTCGTCCCAGTAGTAGTTGCGGCAGTTTCAGAGGTACATTTCTTTTCAATCTGAAATATAAACATCGTTTTAGACAAATGCTTAATGATTATAAGCAGCTGAATTTGCGCAAAAATTTAGGTCGCATTTGTACTGAAGAACTATCACGCATCTGTTTTCCTGTAGTTACTTGCATTCTTGTCATCCTACTAAGTTTATGTAACATCAAACGCCGTGGTACCCAGGAGCTTGTTAATCATTAATCGCTTTTCTATCCCCTTTTTCTTTTAATGCTTTACTATGCTTAAAAAAATATTAAAATACCAAGAAACAGTATAATAAAAAAAGAATGTGATTTTTATCCTTTCTTCTACCTAAGCTTTCCTGAGCCAAGTGGTTCTTTCTAGCTTTTTCCATTACTAAACATTATGTATTTATCCCTTTCTGCTTACTTTTTTTTATATTTTTCTGATATGGAAGTAGACGGTTCCTAACCGTAGGTACTCTGTAATATTTAATCCTTGTACTTTGGCGGTTTATGTAACAGCTATTTTGACACACTAATATTAATATGTATTCATTCTTGCATATGTTCACTTTGGTGAGTTTTTATTTTATGTTTCAGTATTGGTATTTTTGTTTAGTGTTTAAGGAATATTATAGCATCTATTTTCTATCTGTATATTGAATCTATCCCAGTGTAATAACAGGAATGGAATTTCCATTTGTACAGCTTTAATCTCTGACATGTTATAATCCTGAACAAATATAGTTAGTTTTTGGTCTGCGTTTTTCAAGTCCAGAATGAATGAGATATAGAAGAGAGGGCTGACAGAGCTGTGATTCACTACTTCTGTCCGAAAGGCTTCATAGTAATAGAAAAGTTACTATTACATGCCGCAGATTTTGGGGAATGAAGACCATCATTTGCAACTGTTAAATGGTCATTGAGGCGGTCGTTTTGTGGTGTGAGACTAAAGCCAATTCTGTAAAATGACTAAGCGAATTGCAGGTCAGAAAACATAAATACTTTGATGTACGGTATACTTAACTACAGAAATCGCTCCATCGAAACATGCTCCATCACAAGTGCTCATTCTGCAAAAATGTTCCAGAATGACGTAATTCCATAATTGCAGAAGCGAAATATCGTTAATGACAATGTATAGATGCAAGATGGTGCTGCGGCACACGTCACCGCATGTGCTCAGCAAGTGCTGCAACAGCACTTTGGTGATAAGAATCATCTTTGCAGTTTCGTGGCTACCGCAGTCCCCCGACCTCCCTCCGATGGATTTTTGGTTCTGGGGTTATATGAAATCTAAAATGTGCACATCAAATCTGCGAGACTTGTCAGAATTGCCATAAATCGTGAAGTTATATAGATTACTTATGTGATGTTACATTCGTCATTGTTGTTAACAATCTTCTACATGCAATGCGTTATCATCTGCGGAGGTGGGCACATTGAAAACTTATAATTTCAATAAAAGTATTTGTCTCTCTTCCTCTCTTGTGTTATCACTGGTCCTTTAGAATGCTCTTCTTTGCAAAGGTTTATGCTAGCAGTTTTCGTCTACGTGTGTCGTTTCAACGTCATTTATGGTTTTTCAGTGCGCTGATTAGTTTACGCAGAAAAAAAGAGGGTGTTGCCATTCGAAAATTTCGAATTATTTTTCACTGTAATCATAACCATGAGAGTTGTAATGTTTTAAATCATCACAATCTCGAGTGCCTAACTTCAAATAAATATATCTGAAATGAAATTCAAATATGGTTATTTGATGATTGAGCGGTTGCCGCTAGGGGTACATGTACGATTGGTTGAGCGGATATGCCGCTAGGAGTACATATACCGGGAAAGTTTTTTTATGACTACTCTCTCTCTCTATATATAATTGCAATAAAAAAGGAGATGCACAACTAAATGTTATAGCAGTCCCATACACAAAATTTCAACGTTCTACGACTAATCGGTTTTGAGTTATGCGAGGTACATACGTACGTACAGATTTCACGAAAATATTTTGAATTCATTTTACAATCCGTTTTGGAATAAAGTCTTTTATTCTGCCCGTAGTACAGACACAACGCAGAAAAACTATCAAATTGGATTCGGAAATGGTCAAAATGGATATTTCCGTTGAATTTGAAAACCGAAATTTTTCGCGATTGCAGTACTTCCCTTACTTCTTACTTTTACAAAGAAGTGGCACCGAGAGTCATTTAAACATATTCTGCCCTATAATATCTCTAACACAGCTTTCAAAACTGTATATGTATTGCTAATCCGAACAACATAAATAATACCCTTTTTAGTAATATTTTGATAACTTTCTATAACAACGAGATTCTTAATAAAATAATTTGCTGTTTAAACGGTTATGTCCCTCTTGAAGATTTCCCTTTTTTAAAAGTCGTCCCATTTCATTGTTTCTAGATGAGGAAGGTAAAAATTGCCATTTCAACCTTTCTATTCAAGATCAGCTTTAAATTCGAAAATGTGGTCAGTGGTCATCATGGCTGAGATGTTGTCACACTGACACTCCGCTCCTTAAACTTGTTGGATCGGTTATATCGGTGCAGGGACGTGAAAGAGGTGCAGTGCTGTCGCCGGGAATCGAGCTCCGAACCTCCCGAATACGTGCCGAGCAGGCTTCCAGTTACACCACGAAAGCATCTGGAAAGGATGAAGAAAATACCTTATATACTCTCCCTTTTAAAGAGCGTCTATTGCTAAATCCTCTTTGACGAATTATCCATCACTTTTTTAGTTCGGGCGCTACTTGTAGAGTCTTTTAGAATTTTTCGATGTCAAGAAACTGAAGAAATCCGCAATAGCCCTCGTCGAGATTCGAACTCCGGACCTCCCGATTACGCGTCGAGCGTGCTTCCAGCTACACCACGAAGGGTTGCGAAAAGGAGGGAGAAAATACTTTATAACTTTGTGGTCAGACAGTGTTTAGATACATTATTAATGTCCCATTGTACTAATATTTAGCACAATAAATGTGAATTTATTTCATTGCATTGCGAATCATTGTTGCTGTGGCATTCAGTTATGGCTAGATAAATCGATTTCTAAAGAATAATTGTGGCTAAAATATTTTGAGAATTCTCTACCCTGAAATGAGAGTGAAACACTTTTAAAGAATCAGGCTAGCAGTAACTCAAATTTTAATTTAAAATTCTCTAAAAATTCATGAAAACCAGAAATGATGTTGCTATTCCAGTAAAACAGTTTATTGTACTGACTTTTTAACACCGTGACAGAATTTTCTCGTTAATAAACATTCGATGGCCAAGAAGATTTAATATGGAGTCAGTGAAGTACTACATCTGGTACGAAAACAAAATACAAATTTATTCTATGTTGTACTTCGATTATTTTCTAAAGAAAAAGAGTAATCTGAAAGAGTTCAGATTTTAATCATCTCCCAAAAGGGTTTGTTAAGTTTTTTTTTACACCCTCGCTGAGCTCGCAATCTGCCAGTTCTGCTGTTAAATTCACTCTTGCTAATTCAGTTCTGTTTGTCATTTTAGCCTTATAAGCATCACTTTCTTCGCACTTACGCCATATAGCAAAATTACAAAAATTTTAAAAGCAGCATGTGTTTTGAATTGATGAAGTGTTAAGTGTTGGCGTATATTTTTCTATTTTTTCAATCTTTTCTTAGTTTATCATACCAATATTCAATTTTCTTAGTAAAATGTCTTGCAAAGCGGTTTTTTTTACCCCCTAATTATTAACATTTTGTGTTAACTTTATTTATGAAACATCACGTTCTTCGCACATAATGCTACAAAAAATTCAACAGCAAAATCACAAACTATTTAAAAACAGCGTATTTTTAGAATTTCCGATAGACAGTCTAGCACGCTGGAGATTAAAATATTTTTTTCCGTACACTGTTGCCACTACTCGTTCTCAAATCGTCGAGTTTTTTAATGAAAAACTTATTAAAATTTTATAAAATAGGAAACATAAATTTCGAAATTCAAAATTTGGGATTCCAGGTGCACATGTTCGGATGGAGGTCTATGTTATTCAAAATTTGACGGCCATAGGTACCGTAAATTTTTCTCAGTGCGAGGAACATGCATACATAGATGCAGATTCTTTGTTATTTAATTTCTTTAAAAATACTAATACTGGATGATAATATTTGATAGCAACAATTTTGAAAGTGATTCGCCGTTTATAGTGGACGACGCAAAATTCGGGTTCGAGGCTTATAGCCGTTTCGGGCTAATGCCCCTTTGGGCTAACAAATTAAAAAATTTTCAATGAGTTGAAAGAAAGGCTGATATAGGTCGATTTTTGATGTTCTCTCCCCGAACATCTGGAGAAGGAAAGAAAAAGCCTGAAATGGCATGATATTTATTGCCATTTCTGGCAAGCTTGAAATGGGACATTACGGTTTGAACAGTGGTTTCAGTTTTATTATGTTATTGGTAAATATCAATGTTGTAGTTAATTATATTCCTCAAAATATATTCTCGAAAATGTCATGTAAGTATGAGAGAATAAACACCGAAATCACATTTCGGATGATGACAGTTCTGAGTTTAATAAAGAAAAACTGGGTTGAAGTAATGGATTCAAAAACAGAAACCATATCTCTGTATATTTCGAGAAAGGTTGCTTTTAAGAATGTATACAAGGAATGCCAATTAAAATGTGCGTTGTAGAAAGAATCTTCTAAATAAACGATTTTTTTTTTTTTTTTCCTCAAAAATTCAAATATAGCGGTAAAAATGATAGAAGGGGACAAAATAACTTTGCTGTATACCCGGAAAGTTTTTGATGTTTTATTCAAAATTTGCTAGATGCCTACACAGTTGATTGGATTTAAAATTTTAGGATGCATATCTAAGGGATAAAATTAATCACGAAATAACAATAAATCTGTTTGAATAAAAACTCAATTTTAACAAGTATTTCGCCGATCTAGTGTTTTAGAATTTGGTTTTAACGAATGTTCTGAATTTTACTATTGGCATATGTTGATAGTATTTCAAGAACATGATTCCTAAAACAAGGAACTAATGATTATTTCTGGTTATTACAACTTTTCTTTATTTTATACTTTATATTCTTTTGGACCCACTTTTTTCTTTCTTTGAGTAAGTAAGAGAAATTTAGTTTTTGGAGTATATTTTACTATTATTTCTGATGGAGATGATCGGTTTAAGGCCAGTCTGATTTATAATAATTCAAATTACAACTAAAACAGAGACTTACGCATTTTAGGCCAGGAGCACAGGAATCGCACATGGAGAAGAGTGGGTTAGATCTACATTTCTCTCCTAAAAAATGTAGCACAATAATTGTTAAAACGAAAAAGAAAAAAATTCATTCCAGTCAAGTACAATAAACGTTTCGTCAAGACATTTTATTTCCAATTTTATCTCATCAACTTTTGTAGTTATTTAAATGTACATACCTAGGTTTTGTAGATGATACAGAATTTCATTCCTGACAGATTTCAGGTAAATTAACTGTATAACTTCCTAAGTATTATATACGACTTGCCACTTATTTTTTTATGATGAAATGCAATTATTTTTAATATGTTCTAAAACTAGGAAAAAACCAGCATTTGGGTTCTTCGGTTTTATCGAAAATTATCAATTTATTTCGAAGTAGCCAGTCATTCTTTCTTTAAGAAGTAAATGAATTTCGTCCAGTTAAAATAGTCCATTAATGTATTAAAATTATTATTAACTTTCCGATATTAAAAGTACTCTGCCCTGACAAAGCAGAAGAAAAAATACCCCATTACCTAACTGTATTGAAATCGCTGAATATTTATTAAAACCAAAGATGATTGATCTAAGATTGATTTTTGCCTTATTTTGCATTTGATATTAACGTGCGTATCTTTAATTACTTAATATTTTAAAAACTTTTCACTCTCAAATGTAGTATAGCCGCCATAGGGATAAGACGAGTATACAATCATTTTTATTGCACACCTCATATTTTTATAATTGTTAAGTACTTCGAATTGATGTACTATTCGTAGTTTACTCCATGAATCGTTGGTTTTTCAAAACAAGCGCTACTTTTCTAAAACTTGATTGAACAAAACTAGTTAGTATCTTATTTTAATTTTAGTTTAATAATATATATATATATATATGTGTGTTTCGATTTACATATGCATATAAATCAAAACCTATATATCTATTTAACTAAAATTAAAAGCAGCTTCTTTACTTTTGGTATAATAAAAGTAAAAACAAGATGTGTTTTTTAAAGGTCTACTTAAAGGAAAGTTAATTTTATTGTTTTATTTTATTTGAAATGTTTTGTATATATATGCAAATGAAAATAATTTTACTGTTCAAATTTGCAAACAGAATAAAAAATATTTTGTTCTTTTAATGAGTTTATTTTTTATAAAACAGATTGAATGAAATCTAAACTTCTATCACTTGTATTACAGGTTTACTCTCTTTTTCTTGTATTTACCAAATAACCAAAAAAATAAATAAAATAAAATCAATAAATTTAAAAAAAATCTGATAGGTTTCAGATTTTGAATTACATCCAAAAAGGGCGTTTTTTTTTTTAACGTTTTGTGTGTTACCTTTATTTATTAAATATCATGTTGTTTGCACTTAAACCATAAAATTCAATTCAATAGCAATGTCGCAGAATAATTATAAAATGAGCATATCTTTAGGATTTCCGATACAGAGTTCCGCGCGTTAGAAATAAAAAGGTTCCCCGTAGAGTGTTGCCATTGTTCGCTTTGAAATCCTTGAGTTTGTTAATCAAAAATTCTTTAGTTTTACAAAATAAGAAATCGGTAATAAAAAAATTCCAAATTTTAGATTTGGTCTTCCACATGCCCATATTCGTAGGAGGATTACGTCATTCAAAATTCGATGGCTCTATGTACCGTTGTTTTATCACAATGCGAGAAATATACATACATTTATGCAGATTTTTCATTATTTAATTTCTTCAAATATAATGCAGGACTCTAACATTATGACGTAAAACTGCGATAGTATATTACAGTATAAGTGAAAAAAATTGATAATTAGCATATATCTCTCTGCATGTTAAGGAACACCGATATTAAAAGAAAAATATGCTTAATATAATTTGATTATTAAGCATATTTTTCTGTTATATAATTTGATATAATTTGATTATTATTAAATACCCCTCCTTTTTTGGGGGGTATCTGGAATGTAAAATGGCATGACACAGTGGTATTTTTAAACATTTTACTAAATTCCGTGAAAAGTAATCCCAAAAATTTGAACGTTCTATTCTTTCATCCATACGCAACACAGTATCCCATTCTTCAATTTTTTTTTTTTAAATAAATTTACTATGACATGTCACAGTGGTTGGAGAAATATAGCCACCGAGGATTCACTTCGAGGTGAACCCTCCCTCTTTCTATTTTAACCTCCCTGGTGTTTATTTAGAGGTTTGCGCAGTTAGAAGTAATAAGCGCACTTTGGAAAGGCATGAGAAGCTAAAAATATTTTGATTGACCTAGCCACAGTAATAATAAATTGGAATAATACGCGATTTGTTGTGACTTATCTCACCTGTCTGACAGTAAAATCAGATCAAGCCCTCGAAATTTCACGAAAATCCACGAAAAAAAGGAGTGGAAGACTTGTGCCTATCGTTGGCAAGAGCGTTGAGCACCATACAGATGACAGTATGACTTTGCTCAGCTCCATCCCCAATTTTGATGGAGAGCACCCCAGGGGCATGGGTCCGAGGGTCACCCCCCCTCTGCCCCTACCATAAACCTCACGAGAAGAATAGGTATGCGGCTTGCCGCATATTTAGATTGACCCCATGCTCCTCTCGTGCACGCATACCTATTCTCTCGTCACGTCACTCTATACATTTGCAAACATCCATGTCTTCTTATGGATTCGAACCCGTGTCCTTCGGTACGGCAGTCAGCGTGGCTAACCACCAATTAAATATAAATTCAATATATGTTGGGCGGCACTAAGCGATTTACTTTTGGTTAGTTGACTACTAATGAATTGACGTTATTCCTCTTACAATGGCGGCCAACTTACATGGTGACAGACATAGGTAAAGTACAATGCTTTTAATGATACATAATTCTTGCAAAATGTGTTTAATATATTCAAAAGTTCTTTATCAAAATAATTATTTTGAGCATTTTTCTTTACCTTCTTGTTTCTTTTCGATACACATTCCAAACATTGGTGTTCCTAAACAACATTGCTCTTCGGTGCAAGTCTGTATTCCACATCTTTGCGCACTTGTTATCGCCTATAGAACAAAGCAAATTCTTTTTTATTCAGCTAAATGAGTCAAGTACATTGCAATTCTTTAAAACTGAATTTGGCTGATTTTCAGCAATGCATTTCTTTCTAATGATAATGAATTACAATTAAATATAAATTCAATATATGTTTTTTTTTATCCTTTATTCACTAAATAATCAGTTTAAGTTTCAAAGAAACACGACAATTTTTATCGATTATATCTGTCACATGAATTCTATCCTTTCAATAAAATTATTTCTCTCAAAAATTATAGTAAGGAACTTTGCTGTTCGACTGAGCCTACAGAAATGGTAGTAGGTAAAGAATATGAAAGTTCTTTTTGAGCGTTTTTAAATAATTCATGAAGACAGATGGCCCTTACGATTTGATTACATCTTGATAAATGAAAATTTAATTATCAAAGCTCTAAAATACGTTAATTAATATTAAAAAGAAAAAGGGAGATTTAAACTAATTTAAATAGACTCAAAAAACTTCATGAACTTTTAGATTGACCTTTTAGATGAAGTTGAGCAAAATAATAGAACACAAGGTATATTTCGGCACATAATATTTATTAAGACTCATAATTTATTTAATATTGAACTGAAAATTGAAAAAAATAGTAAAGGGTGCATGGATAACCACCATTAATAGTGTACAACTGAAAACCTAAGTGAACCAAGTTAATGTTTGACGCTAAAGTCTGAGATACGAAATCGTCGGGAGTCCTACGAATCCACATTCCGTATACTTCCGGATTTTAAATATAGTAAGATGACATGTAGACATGGCAACATTGGGGCTTCCTTTAGTGCTTAGGTCAGAAAAATGCTAACCACCCTAAGGACCTAAATTATGATCCTGACAAACATCAGTACAGCGTCAGTCAGTGTATTCACGGTGCCCCTTTCCTAGCCACCAGGTTAAATGAGACATGCCCGGATGTCAGTTAGTCGGGAGAAAAATCACATTTACGACACACCTTTTCCTTTTGTTAAGGAAATATATCTTGTAATCAATATTCTTAGATTTTTTTAAAATGTTTATTTTATTTTTGGGCTGGCGGTCGTAGGTCCGGATACTGGACTTCTGGATTTCGGGCTTTCAATTGTATTTCTTATTTGATGAGCCTGGAGAATGGCTGATAGAAGGCACTAGGGAACTGAACACTTATCGAGCACATTATGCTTCTGAAAGACGTAAAGTTTTGAAAGTAAACTGTCGTTCCTTCATTATATAGTTTGCAAAGCAAACAAAAATGTATGCTATGCCAATCAGCGTCAAGCGGGTTTGTCTTGCTCATACAAATTATCTATCAGTTTTGTGACAGATGCCGTAGCCTTTCATTTTAAGCTGACATAAAGAATTCATACAATGCCACATCTATCCAGTGCTGCTAGAAATTAGTAAGCTAAAGCAGCAAGAGAAGAATCGAAAAGTAGTGCGGAACGTCAGCGATCACTTGATTTTCTGTACCATCATAAGTTCCTGGCTCACGTGACATTTGATGTCATCGTAAATTCAGTCTCAATGGGTTCCGTAAGTTGCCGACTGTGATTCTATTCTTGGTCGTTTTATTTCGTATATTAGATTGAACGGATAAGTTAAAAACAAATTGCTAAATTTCCATTGTTTGAATTCCATTTTTTTCTTTTAATTAATTCTCAGTTAAATTAGTTTGTTATTTTCGATTAATTTATTCATATCTGTTGTTAGATGCTTTTTCACGTTTGGGCTGTTAACATTGTTGCAATAATTTTTTTGAGCTGGGTTATTTTTTTAAAATTTAATTTTTACAATGAGTTTTTTTTTTTTTTTTTTTTTTTTTCCAGTTGAGTATTTTATTTTTGCAATGAGATAATTACTTCAGTTATGAGCTGGAATTCATGATTTAGCTTCTAACGTTTTGACTGTTTTGTTTGCATTCTTACTGTTTTGACTGTTCATATACCAATTATTTTTTTTTAAATCATTTTAAAATTAAGTAACATTTGAAATAAAATATAGTATATTAACAATCATTATTTGTGACAACGGTCCGTTTTCAAACATAATTTTTTGTTTATGCTTTAAGAAAGAGCTGTGCTTCATTAAACCAGTCTCGGTTCATACTGATATTAAGTTACTTAACAAGCTTCTGTCTTGCCCATTTTCATTCTTTATATCTAGTTGTCAGACATGGGTACTTTTAAGCGCAGCATTTTGAAAGGTGGTGGTTGATTTTTTCACGTTACTCATAATTCGCTGTTAGCAGCTGTAATCTGACTTCAGCTTTGCATGCCTGCTCACAGATAACCAAAATATTAGACAAAGTAATAAGTAAAACAGACGAAAACACTAGCTACTATTGTAATGTCGAAAACTGAGCGTACGTGCTCTCGTGAATTACGATCGCTGGATTGCTAGTTGCCAACTTTTATTTCAGACTAAATAAATTATTATTTTTAATTATAATTTTTGTGTTAACATATACTCATTTTATGACATATTAAAAAAAATTTAAAAGGAACGGAAAGTAGCACAAGGCAATGGACTTGGCAAATAGAAAATGGGCAAATAGAAAATTCGAAAAAATTTTAGTAGCATATATCTGTGAAAAATGGCAAATTTGCGAAAAATCGCACGATCTGTCACCACTGCCTCTGTCACATTTTTAAGTCATTTGAGCAGCGTAGTTAAACAAGTACAAGATGTTAACTACTCTCTAGCATGAAAGGTCAGCGCATATAATTGCATACTTTACTGCTAAATAAACAACAGTAGCGTATTGAACACTACATTGGACCAGTATTTTTTTTTCCCCCGAATACTTGAAAGCAAACGATGTTTACATTTTTATAAAATCTTCAAAATTTGAGAAAGCTGAAAGTAGGCGAAACTGCTGTTTTATGACATCAGATCAGAACCGATCGCTCACTGAAAACAATCGGTTCTTTTTTACCATTCACCGCTCACTAACAATTATCCTGATGGATAAAATCGAGAAATAGAAATGAGCGAAGAGCGGAAAGAATCGGATTAACCGAACCGCTAACACCACATGGACTGATTTCTTTCAGCTGTAGTTCTGAGATTCTCTAAAACCTCTTTTCTACATAACATTAAAATTCTAGAAAAACAAAGTCCTCAAAAAGATGGGAAATAATAAAATTAAATTCACATTAACATGGGAGTAAAAAACATTCCTTTCTTCCCCTAATAGGTCAAATAAATTTCTTTCGCACCCTTCCAGCCAGAACTATCGGTGGGTGAACCCTAACGATGATACCGCTCCGTTTGGTCGAATCACCATGCGCTTAATCATTAAAGTGAATCGGATCTTTGGATTAGTTGATCCCTAGACAGGGCAATGAAGAACTGCAACACTTGTTCTGTGCAGTATGAAATATTGTTTCAAGGAATGATAGAAATAAAATTTATTATTTTGCTAATATTGTGAAACAGTATAAAACGTTCTAAGGGAACAATGAAATCTCAGTTGTTATCTGACCACAGGTAGATACTAACGTATGCTACTATATATCTAGAGTGTGAACTAAAAAACCACACGTCTGAGGGATGACTTGTAACCTGAGACCACACGTCATATTTTGCGCATACCATTTTCATTCCTTTTATGTGTTCTCACAAATTATAGTTCAGGACTGCTGAAGACAGCTTTAAATGATGTATTTTGTTATTTTGTGGCTTCTTCTCACTTGACGTGAATTTCTTTATTTGTTTTTATTCAATTAATTAATTTTTGATTTGCTTTATACTGCAAACAATGAATCAGCTAATACGGAGGCTACATATGACTTTTATACCGGTAAATTGTTTACACAGAGAAAGTCATCAATGACAGCGAAAGAAACAAAGTGATTTAAATTTTATATTAATAATAATGTAAGTACTCTTTTTATTTTAAAACAGAACTAAAGCATTTACGTGATTTCTTCTAATTTTAATTCTAGGAAAGTTTGGTTCTTGGAATTTATAATTTCGTATCATTTGTAAATAAATATTAATACTTTCATCTTAGAGAGGAAATTCCTACAGCAAGCGCCGCTTAATGTGATTGCAGTTTATGGTATCATTTGGATAGTGTTAACGAACTGGGGAAGACCCGTCCATTTTTATACGAAAATATGGAAGAACATATCGTTAATTGTGATCAACAAATCGGTTTTAACGCTGTCAAAATATTATAGAGCGGTTTTTTTTAAGACTGAAGTAATGTCGCCAAATAAAAAGATAAAATCCCCGAATGAAGTCCAAATAGAGCAAACAAATTGCTAAATAACAAAGCTAATATTGTCAAGTAAAGGAATTAGTCGCCAAGCACCTTGTTTTTGATTTAAGGAAACATTAAAGTCTTGGAACCGTGCCTCAGTAAAAACAATAAAGAACTGTTTTAAGTATGATAGTCTTTTAATAAATGGTAAAATAAAAGAAAATAAAGAATTAAAAACGTCTCCAACTAATATCAATTGTCAGCAATTTAATGTTTGGATGGATTTTGATGAAAAACTTCACACTGCAGATTTAGTTACAGGTACGGGTAGAAGTGGACGAAACAGCACAAATTCTCATTTGGTCGTGCAGGTATAATCCCATCGCACTAACTGTGCAATTCCACCCCAATTTGGGGGAGGGGACATCCTGGGGACCGGCTCGAGGAATTTCCACCTTTCGAGTAGAACCCTTAATTACCTTAATTTCAACTTTTCCCTTAATTTCAACCTTTCGAGTAGAACTCCGGCTCGCCCTGTGGTTTAGGTACCCCCTTGCTGCACAGACACTATACGCTTATAAACGGCCATACCTTCTCTGGAATTCGAACCCGAGTTCATCGATACGACAGTCAGCGAAACTGACTACTAAAGCTACTGGAGAGAGTTGTGCTTAAGTAAGCTGCTGTGTTATCTTGACATTTCCAATTAGATGCACTGGCACCATTATGGATTAAGGTCATTCAACTGAATGTACGATCTGATAACTTTTAGCTGTAATGCACATCAGATGAGAAAAATAAGGCACACAGCAGTGATTGCCCCGGACGTTAAGACGATATTTGACTCGCTGTGGTGGCTTGATATCACTAACTGGCTGGAATCTCTCATTTCCGACCTCCATTCGTCATCTACTGCGTAGCTATTTAGAGGCAAGATAAATACAAATTACCCTGGACAGAGGCACAGTTCGACAGAAACTTGAGAAGGGGTGCTCTCAGGGTTCTTGCCCTAAACCGATCCTGGACAACATCGTGGTCAATAGTCTTCTCTCTGGTCGATTATAAGAGGGAGTCAAGATCATCGCAGATGTTTTTCTGCTCACAAATAGAAAAACGAACCGAGGAGTGTCTTGATGTATTTTCTGAATGGGCGAGAGCACGTAAGCTACAGCTCTCGGTCTCCAAAACACAGGTACTTGTCACAGGTCAAGGAACTCCACTAACTGGAATACATGCATCAGACTTCTGGGTTCTGTAGTAAATGTGCCAATGAACTCTCGAGTATCTAGTAGTCCTGGGTAAAAGTCTTTCCTGGCAGCCTTGTATCTCCTCCCTGAAACATAGTATTAATACCGTTACCAGCAGAATGTCATCGACAGCCTCAGTGGGATCGGGAATCCTGGGAAAGCTACTGAGGCTATTGTACACGGTAGTAAGGGAACGAATAGTTTTATATGCAGCAGCAATCTGGGGTAATACTCTCACAGCTCATATCGAGAGATCACTACTAATACTGCAGAGACAACAGCTTCTTATGGTATGCAAGGCATACCGTACTACTTCGCAAGCTGCCTTACAGGTTATGGAAAGCTTGCTTTCACTAGATTTATTAGTCGAAAGTGAAGTGGCTATAGTAAATGTTTCCCGCTTGCGATGAACCAAGCATCTTTGGTAGCAAATCTACACTCATACAGACTATCTCTCTTGTTATCCAGCTGAAAGCATTCTTGTCGAGACCATTCACTTTAACAGGACACTGCAAAATAGTTGGCTAGAAGGTGTACACACGGATGGCTCCAAAACAATAGAAAGAGTTTTGTGTTCTCGTAGAGCGTGACGTAACACATATTTGGAGAGGAAAAACAGAGTTTGAAAACTCTTTTCCAAGCTGAATAACTGCCATTAGAGCTGCACGTTTACACATGAGAAAACATCCTAACGTGTCTAAGCATACTGACATCGATTACGTCTAGAGTCTATATCCGTTGTCAAATCAAGAAATTCAACAGTATAGAGTATTCAAGGCCTCCTGTTACGAATGCTAGGCTTGCAAAGACCCATTCTTAGTTGAATTCTTGCTGACACGCAAATTATAGGCAATCAGTTAGCGGACACAAAGAAGCGACGAACTTCACTTCACTAAGGGAGGTTCCAACATTAAAGCCGATTGCATTTCCGAAGAGGCAAACTCTCCAATAATTAGTCTCTAAATGGCAAGAGCAGTTGTACCGGACCACGACAGGACATCGGGTATGTAAGTTTCGTACCAAAGTGTCACTGAAACCGCATTCAGTGAGCAATTATCTGTAACAGTTTATCACGGAACATAGTCTTTTTCCCTGTTATCTCACATGCTTTGGCCTTAGAGAGTACAGCATCTGCGAGTGGGGGGAAAAGATCATCCAAACCAATTTGTGTTTTGCGCACATTTTGCAAACATCAGGCCAGAACAGCCAAGCATAAGCTACTGGTTTCAATGGTTTCAGAACCTGAAACATAACAGTGTTGCTGTGCGAAAGCTAAAGGTCTGAGATGACTGTGCCTGAACATATGTCTAATGTATGAAAATATTCGAAGTTGAATTCATTTTTCTGCATTTGTATTTAGAATTTATATTTAGTTTAATTTTATTGATATTTTGAAGGATATTTTTCTCATCGCTTAATGTTATCAAAGTAGTCATGGACAAACGTGATCACATTAAGTGGCGGCAATTGTAATAGATTATTCGTAGCAACTTAGCTTAAAAATGCTTTAGGTGTTAAGTGAAATCAGCATACGAAGATTAGATTGTAATTAATTTTATGTTTTATTTATGCTTAATTTTTTAAATTTTGTTTATTTAATTTTTTGAAACTTTAATGCTAAACCATTCAAGATGTCAGACTGTAATCTGAAATTTTTAGAAAATGTATTTGTGTGTAGTATTTGTTTTTACAAGAAACGGTGCACGGATATTCAAATAAATCTTTTTTCCGGTTGTAGAGATATTAGGTAAATTGGAAAAGCCAGAGAGATGAAAAACGAGCTACCGCCTTCGCCGGGAATCGAACCACGGACCTGTGGAATACCGGCCCAGCGTGCAGAACCACTACACCACAAAGGCTCGCCAAGACGGTGGGAGAAATACCTTATAAGGGTAAAGAATAATTGATTTCAAATTTTTGACTAATCTTGCGCATTGCTAGTGGAAAGGATACCACATTATATGATCTTTAAAAAGTTAAGCTGTGATCTGAACGAATAGACTTCGACCTTCACCGCTTACGATTCTGGCGTTATTTTAATAAATGATCTTTGAAAAGAATACTTCTTTGAGGAAAGAAATCATATTTTACAATGAAACAAATCTAACTTCTTTCTCCCCCTCCTCTGCAACTGAAATAAACGTGAACTTGACAATGAACTTTTATATTATCAATATTAAGCATAGTAAGTAGTATAAATAATATTACAAAACTCAGAACTTACCACGAATGATAAAAATAGAAACGCAATGCTGGTAATCATTTTGACTCTTTGTATATTTAGCAATTAGAAGCTGCTAAAACTATGTGAACTATATTCTGCGCCAGCAGACTTTTATACCCTAATTTCCGACATAAAGGTTTTATTTGGATGTAGTGCCCTTTGCAGAAACATCTGTCATTATAACATAACTTTTGCAAAGGGTATTCTCCTCGATAATTAGTTGTCATCATTTATGAAGAAAAAACATGTTTTATCAGCATTGAAAAAGTGGAGCTATTATTCTGAAATATTATGAATTGGCACAAAATGACCGTTCTTCGAGCTGTTTTCTTTATATCAATTGATCACAAAAGAAATAGTTACAAATTAATGAGTATTTCAGAATTTTATTCCTGTTCTTTTATACGGCTTTCCAACACATCGCAGTAACGGGCTACAGTTGCCATGAAAGCGCTTTTTTGTCGTTTTCCTCTAATTCAAATGTAATTAAATTAGAAAATTTAGTCAGGCGTTAAAGTAGACAAGTAGCTATTAAGTATGGAGACTTTCTGACTGCAACATTTCTGTGCAAGGCAGGTGACAGGTGATGGAGGACGGAAACACCTAGTGTCTAACAAAGGTAAGCAGATACATGTCCCACGCCCTCCGCTATCTTGAACCGACAGCTACCTCGATTCCCTATCGAAATGTTCCTTTAATTGACTTCTTTCCTTTCTGCCTCTTTTCGCCTCTCATTCCAAAATTTATGTTGATTTAAGTGGCAAACAGTTTTACTATAAAGTTTTAGAGATTTACCAATAAGAGTATTAGAGTTATGCCTGCATTCTTCTGCCCTGCCGATTGAAGGGAACAGTCTGCTGGCGACGCTAATGCTAAAGCTAAGTTTGCTGGGCGTACTTTAGAATGAGGTTAGATTCTGTTTTGGTTAAGTATATTGTAAAGACAGCGAATTTTCATGTGTTCTACACGGATGTGAGCAGTTAGGCTCAAAGTTTGCGCGTGGTTTCAGAAAACAATTACATGGCGAACGTTCAGATATATTTCTTCCAGAATGTCACAAAGTCAGACGTGGACATTTCACTGTAGTGCTAGCATAAGAGGGGAGAAGCACCGGCTAAGCGGAGACTTTTGCTTTTAGATTTATTTGTTCAACTCGTGAAAACGAGTTCCTGACGAACTGCGTGAGACGAGAGGGATATTTCTCGACAGGAAAAGACATATCTTTGATGATTTTCATTGCAAATAGATTTTTATTCTGTATTTTTGTTCATAAATAAAGGTCTTCATTCTCGAAGCTACAGGAGAAACCCAAGAGTACGCTCAAATCAAACGGGTTTCTTGCAACGTTACCGATTAAGCCCAGAAACGTTTAGGGAAAAATTTGGAAATCGTACTAAGAAGCCGAACAATAGGTGGAAAGATTTTATGTGTGAAATGCAGACGTATTTTGACGGATTTCAGAAGATAATGCTTTTTCTGAGCTGGAAGAAGTAATCATTTCGGACCAGGTGGAAAAGCGCGCGAGTGCCGAAGCCAAAGAGAAATACAGAAATGAATGGGAGAATATTATATTACCGCTCGTGTTAGCTCAATTAGGTAACTTTGAAACCGTGATCAGGATTTCAATAAAATTTTAGTCGCTACTAAGTGAGATATTTCAAGTTGCGAGACCAATGAGACTAAAAATTGGGAAGAGAAAAGAAAATAACGGTCTCCCAAGAAATCATCGAATTTCGTTAAATGATCAAGACAAGGAAGGTGAAAGAATTTAGAAGTGGAAATCACTCCCGATGTTTTGAGTGCGGATCGTCTTCACATTTGCGACTCTCAACTTCGGCAGTAGAGAAAAAAACGGCGAAAACCGATTCGACGTTTTGAATGTGAATGGTCTTCACATTTTTTTTAACCACATGTCCACTATGGGAAAAGAAACAGGAAGCGATATTGATCCACTTAGCTTTCCATGACAGTCCACAAAAATAGTTAGAGCCATACATAAGCAAGACGGTTTTAATGGAAAATACTGTTAGTCCTACGTGATTCGGAAGCTTCTATCGATGTCATAACGAATTCCTCTGTGCGTAATTTTAACTTGTGAAGTAATGCGGATCTGTCAACCGTTAGATTAGGAGTCTAGGTGCCTGCCCCTTGCTGAAATATAGGTTGAAGGGGATTTTGGGTGATTCCTTACAAAGGCAGTGGTAATAGATAAGTTCTCCTTGTTCTAGGACACTACATTCTAGAAAACAGGGTCTTCGAGGGCATAAAATCCTTCGAAAACAGTAAAGGTTTTCCGTAGAGAGCAAATGTCATTACGCGATCTCAGGTAAGGAAATATTTTTCAGAACTCGAGAGAGAATCAGAAAAGACGGGAGGCGAAATCAGTGAGCATAATTCTCAGAAGATGGAGGGTAAACTGGCTTTTGAGTACAACAGGGAAGAGGTAGAATTTTAAGAAATGGGTCTTGAGTAGGTCATAAAATGGTACACAGGTTCAGAAAGAGCTCTGATTAATATTCGTCAGAAGAGTTAAAAAGCGCTTAGGACGCACATGAGACATTAAATCCCATTTGGAAAAAGGTAAAAAAAAAATTGACATGAAGGCATTCTGCGAGATTATAGTGTTAATGACGAGATTGTGTATAGAAGGCAGAAGGATCAAAATGGGGAACCCCGTAAATGGCTAATAGTGGCAAAAATGTGTAGGAAGAAAATTCTAGAATTTTGTGATTATGCGTGGTCTAGCCATTTCGGTGTGATAAAAACCAGGGATAGTTTAGCTTATTATTATTATTGGCAGAACTGTTGTAGAGAAATTGATGACTTTATAATTTCCTACGATATATGTCAGAGATCGGGGAAACCTAAGGAAAAGTTAAAGGCAGCGTTAAAACTTGGGCCAATTATTAGAGAAGTGTTTTCGAAAGTAAATAATACAGACTCGTGTATTCTGTTACCATATAGTGATAAGGAGAATAGCTACATAATAAATGTAATTGTTTGACCTTGAAATACCCGGATATAGAATCGGTAGGGGTAATGCTGTTACAGAGCGTTGTTACGAGTATTTAGCCGTATCGATTTTCCGAAAGAAGCTTAGGAAAGTAATTCACCAGCCACTTACCTGATTTTTGAGAATTCTGGCAGTTTTAGCATTAAAATAAATCACAGCTTAGTGTGCTGTCCCCAGTCAAATCCGGTAGAGAAGTTTCTTAAAAGTGTCAATATTACAGATACTGTGCATAGATTCAAGAGCATAATGGGAGCGTTACTCTTGTGAGTGTTTGCTGGCATTGAAACCAGTAACGCACGATTCTGTTGGGTTTTCTCCCTCGAAATAAATTATGGGTAAACATTTGAAGACGCCGGAAGTTCTGTTATATGAATATTGGACTCAGCCGCTAGAGGAAGGAATATTGTAACCACACATGTGTTCGATATCATTAATCGCTTGAGAATCTCTCGAGATTTAGTGGTAAAGAAAATGGCGGAAATGCAAAAGAAACGCGAGGTCTGTTATGACCATAATACGGTCCAACGCGAATTTAAAGAAGGTGATAAGGTTCTGATCTAAATTCCCACACGATCCAAAAAATTTGAAGTACACTAGAAGGACCCTAGTACTGTAAAAACCAAGTAATGAGAGACTAATTATGTCGTGAAAGTAGAACATATTGAAGGTTTATTATATCAACATATTGAAATCCTACCATCGAAGGCCCGAGGATGTAAATCATCTAAGGGGAAGAATCATAAGGAACAAAAGAAGATCGGATTGAGATGTACCGTCACTGTGAAATAAGCCGGGAGTGTTCGATAGTTAGGAAATTGTGGATAGAAACGCTTTGGAAAATCGGTTCTCAGAAGCCAAGATAAATCAGCTAAGAGTGTTGTTTAAAACTTTATGCAAGTGTATTCTGCAGTTATAACCTTGGGCTGGAATTAACATCGACGAACCCAGCCATACCGTATAAGGCATCTCAAAAGGCAAGTCTTAAATAAAATAAAAAAGCTGAGAATATGCTCAGGCTTAAAGTGATCGAGATAGGAGAAGCAGGTTATTCTCTCACTATGATTTTTAGTAGATGCCTCTGGAAAAGATCCGAGACTCTGTGTAAATTATCGGAAGTTGAACTCTGTGATTCGGATCGAAATTTTCTCTTTGTCAAATACTGAGGAACGGGTAGAGCAGATTGTTTCCGATAAGTACATATGGCTGTATATAAAGACGCTAGATCTAGCGAAAGGATACTGGAAAATTTCATTAAGGGCTCAATGAAAAGCTGCGTTTATGTCATCCTTTGGAAGCTGTCGACCACTTCGTATGCCTTTTGGGTTAAAGGCGCACCTAACTTTTGTAGTAAACTGATAGACGAATTATTGAAGGCATGTTAAAGTTACGCTGTCTCTTATCTCGACGATGTCGAGGATTTTTCATCGAAATGTGCGGAACACTTGAAGCACGTGACCGAGGTCTTAAAGATTTTGTCTGGCTGAACTAAAAATCAAGCCCTCTAAGTGCAAGTTTGCGGTATCTCAAACACAAAGTTTGGGCGAATTAGATCCCGATCTGATAGGATCTTCTTCCTACACTTTAGTATCAGAACTTCCCAGGACACTTTAGTATCGGATCGTCTTCCTACACTTTAGTATCAGAACTTCCCAGGACACCCAGCAAAGACCCAAATGCGTGCGTTTCTGGCTCTGACCGGCTACTACAGCCACAGTACGAAAGATTACTTCAAGATAACTGCTTCTCTAATAAACGCCTTATAGGGAAAAGCTAAGAAGGGAAAGATTTTCTGGGACGGAAACTGTGAGAATATTCACGGATTTAAAAGGGGAGTTAGACTAAACCAGTGCTTCATGCGCCTGATTTTAAAAAAAGAATTTGTATTGTGATGTGCTACATCAGACGTGGCTTTAGGGACTGTTTTATCGTAGCAAATCAATAATGAAGAGCACCCTGTGCTTTATTTTAGCAAGAAATTTTATTGCATGAAGAGATAATACGATTAATTATACGATTGAATGAGAGTGTATCCATAATTTATATGATCTTAAAAAACTGAGATTTTACTTCAATGGCTGACCTTTTTTAAACCAGACGATCATTAACTTCTCGCAT